TAAAAAGAATTGTCTATCTCATCAGATATTATAAAGTTGGACAAAACAGTAGAGAACAAGACCAATAAAACTTAGGCATTGTAAACATTACAGGACTTCCAAAGAAGACAATAGTCAAACCAGAATGGGTATCTTAGTGAATCTTATTGTCTTCAAAGTAGTTGCCTATGTCTTCAAACTTGATACTATCATATAGAATGGAACAGAGTCTAATCAGTCAAAACAAGATCGTGGGAGTACTACAGGACTTCAAAACAAGTTAATAGGAAATCAAAAAGTGTTACTATTTATATATCCTAATTTTTTGAATTTTTTCTTTAATTAAGACAAACATAAGAAATGACTAAATTTTTTTAAAACAATTAGGGGGAGATTGAGATAAAACAGGACATAACAATATAACAATAGAGGTCACAGCATGACTGTTTCAACAACCTAGCACTTCACCACCATATAACCCGACTTAATGGTAGTTACCATAGCGTCTTTTTCCTTGAAATATTTGGATAAAACTTCATATACTCTAGCTTCAAATATTTTCATATCAAGAAGCCCAGAATAAAGCCTTTCTAATTAATGAGTGAGGTCTTTCACTTCTTTCATGAGAGTAATTCCTAAATATTTCATTTTTTTTGGTTGCTAGTGTTAAGGGTGTGGCCTCTCTTATTTCTCTCTCTGTGACTTTGTTGTTAGTGTATAGGAATGCTATTGATTTTTGAGTATTGATTCTGTAACCAGCTACATTACTGAATTTATTTATTATTTCTAGGAGTCTTTCAATGGAGTTTTGGGGATCTTCTATATAGAGTATTATGTCATCTGCAAATAATGATAATTTAACTTCTTCTTTTCCTGTCTTTATGCCTTTTATTCCTCTCTCTTGTCTAATTGCTTGGGCCAGTATTTCCAGAACTATATTAAATAGGAGTGGTGATAAGGGACATCCTTGTCTTGTGACTGATTTTAAAGTAAAGGCTTTCAATTTTTGTCCATTTAGTATGATATTGGCTGTTGGTTTGTCATAGATGGCCTTAATTATATTGAGGTAAAGGCCATCTATTCCAATTTTCTGCAAGGTTCTTATCATGAATGAATGTTGGACCTTATCAAAGGCTTTTTCTGCATCTATAGAAATGATCATGTGATTCTTACTTTTGACTCTATTGATATGGTGGATTACATTTATTGATTTACATATGTTGAACCATCCCTGCATGCCTGGGATGAATCCTACTTGGTTGGGGTGTATGATCTTCTTGATGATTTACTGCATCCTATTTGCCAATATTTTATTGAGGATTTTTGCATCTGTGTTCATTAGGGAGATTGGTCTGTAGTTCTCTTTTTCAGTTGGGTCCTTCTCTGGTTTTGGTACTAGAGTAATATTTGCTTCTAGGAATGATTTTGGAAGGATTGCTTCCCTTTCAATTTCATTGAAGATTTGAGGAGTGTTGGCATTAGGTCATCTTTGTATTTCTTGTAGAATTCTGCAGTGAATCCGTCTGGTCCTGGGCTGTTCTTTGTAGGTAAAGATTTAATTACGTTTTCAATTTCATTAATAGAAATTGGGTTATTCAGTAGTTTTACATCTTCATGACCTAGCTTTGGTACTTTGTATGTTTCTAGGAATCTGTCTATTTCCTCTATGTTATCAAACCTTTGAGAGTAGAGGCTTTTGAAATAGGTGTTGATGATCTTCTGTATTTCTATAGGGTCTGTAGTAATTTCGCCTCTTTCACTCCTTATTGCATGAATTTGAGCTTTTTTTCCCCCTTTTTAAAATAAGGTTGGCTAGGGGCTTGTCGATTTTATTTATTCTTTCAAAGAACCAGCTCTTTGAGTCGTTGATTTTTTGGACTTTTTTTTTTTTTTTTTTTTTTTTTTTTGGTCTCTATTGCATTGATTTCTGCTCTGATTTTTATAATTTCTTCTCTTCTTTTGGCTTTGGGCTTGACTTGCTCTTCTTTTTTCTAGATGTTTGAGGTGTAACATCAGGTTATTTATTTGTATTCGTTCTGTTTTCCTAATGTGGGAACTCAGTGTAATAAATTTTCCTCTGAGGACAGCTTTCATTGCATCCCACAGATTCCAGTAAGTTGTATTTGTATTTTCATTTGTTTGTAGGTATTGTTTAATTTCTTCTTTAATTCCCTCTGTGACCCACTGATTATTCAAGAGTGTGTTATTCAGTTTCCATGTGTTTGTGGGATTTTTGCAGTATCTTTTATCATTAATTTCTAATTTCATCACGCTATGGTCCGATAGCATGCAAGGGATAATTTCGACCCTTTTGCATTTATTTAAATATGTTCTGTGAATTAATATATGGTCAGTTTTAGAGAATGACCCATATACTACTGAGAAGAATGTGTATTCTGTTGTTGTTGGGTGATATACTCTGTATATGTCTATTAAGTCCATTTGTTCACAGGTGTGATTCAGTTCTTTTATTTCTTAGTTGATTTTCTTTCTGGTTGATCTGTCCATTGGTGTCAATGGTGTGTTAAGAGCTCCTGTTAGAATTGTGTTATTGCTAATTTGGTTTTTCATTTCTGTTAGTACTTGTTTTATATAACAGGGTGCTCTGGAGTTTGGTGCATATATATTTAAGATAGTTATCTCTTCCTCTTGAAGTTTTCCCCTAACCAGTATGTAGTGTCCTTCTTTATCCCTTCTGATCATTATTGGTTTAAACAGAATAGCTACCCCCACTTTTTTTGGGGGGGGTCCTGTTGCATGAAGTATTGTTTTCCATCCTTTGACTTTTAGTCTGTGAGTATCCTTTTGGGTTAGATGGGTTTCTTGGATTCTGTTTCTTGATCCATTCTGCCAGTCTGTTTCTTTTAATTGGTGCATTGAGACCATTTACATTAATGGTTAGAACTGTTACATATTTGTTTGTCACTGTCATGTTATCTTTTTGCTGTTGCATCTTTATCTTTCTGCTCTGTTTAATTGTCTGCTTTGTTTAGTGGTTTTTTCCTAAATGTATCTAGGCTGTCTTTCAGTATTCTTTGCAGTGTTGGCGTGGTGATCATGAAGTTTTTCAGCTGTTCTTTGTCATGGAAGTATCTTATTTCTCCATTGATTTTGAAGGACAGTTTTGCAGGGTACATCAGCCTAGATTGGAAATCATTTTGCTTTAGGATCTGGAATATTTCACTCCATGCTCTTCTTGACTTTATTGTTTGTACTGAGAAGTCTGCTGTGATTCTGATAGGTTTTCCTTTATAGTTGATCTGTCTTTTCTCTCTGACAGCTTTTAATATTCTATTCTTTTGTTCGATTTCTGGGATGTTCATTATATGTCTGGGTGTAAATTTATTTTGGTTATGGCTATTTGGAGTTCTATATGCTTCATTGATCTTGATATCAGTTTCTAATCTTGTGTTTGGGAAATTTTCAGCTATTACTTCTCTAAATATCCTCTTGACATCCTTTATGTTGTCCCCTTCTTTTTCATTTATCCCTATCAACCTTATGTTGTTCCGCTTTTCATCGTCTTGCAGGTGTTGAATTGTTATTTCCTGATTTCTTGTTATTTTTAAAAGATGTTTCCTTTCCTGTTTGCTAGCTGCAATCTTGTCTTCGAGGTCTGAGATTCTATCTTCACATTCATTGAGGTGGTTTTTACAACTTTCAATGGAGTTTTTGATTTCCTGTATATCTCTTTGCATCTGCTTTATGTATTCTGTTTGTTTCTTATATTGTTTATCCAGGTATTCTATCTTTTTGTTTAGGTCCTCCAATTTTTTAACTATGTCTTCTTTAGATATGTTCAGCATCTCCTTCATTTTTTTTTATCATTTCTTCTTTTACCTGAGAGATTATTTCTAGTTTGAATTCCTTTAAGGATTCCAAGAGTGGCTTCTTTATTTCAGTTACTATTATTTCAGGTATTTCATGTATGTGGAATGTGTTTTCTTCTATGCATGTGGTTTCTAGGCTTTCTTGGAATGGCCTGGATGTTTGATATTGCATTTTGGTCTTTCATTTTGTCATTTTCCTATATTTTCGAGCTTCAAGTGTTGTTCCAAGTGAGGTAGAGAGTTCCCCCAGACCGTGTCTAGGTCCGACTGGCTGGGTCCGCAGGGAACCGCGGCCTGGCCCCTCAGGCGAGAAAGAGTGTTCCCCGAGACTGGGGCGGGATTCCAGGGGCAGGATTCCATGCCTAGGCCCCACTCGCTGGTCCTGGCAGGAAACCACAGGCAGATCCCCAGGCAATGAAGAGAGCTTCCCCAGACCGGGGCAGGATTCCTGGGGTAGGATTCCTTGCCTAGGCCCCTGAACTGTGCCCCTGCTTGCTGAGAACCACCTGATGGTAGCCCACCCCAGCAGGTCCATGAAAACCTGCTGCTGTCCTAGTTCCTTGAGCAGCATCTGGATCATTATCTTAGTCTCTTCAGCCAAAGCTCCTGATTTGCTGAACCCTTCTCCCTCAGTAAAGCTTGGACTGAGCAGGAATGCATGTGTGGGTGATACTTGGTCCTGGGTCATTTCTACTGCCTCTGGGTCCTAAGGTCCCATTGTCCGGTATCACTATGTGCCACTATGTTGGAGCCAAAGTCTTGGTGCTTCCAGTGGGGCTGGGCTGGAAGGGACTCAGCTGAGACCTGATGGACAGCAGAGAGCTGAGGGCAGAAAATGCCCTGGCTTCTCCACTCTTCTGTTTTCCACCAGTGCCTCCTATTGGCCAACCCATCCAGAAGGTAGAGGCTAGGAGCCTGGGGAGCCCTTCCTGCAGCAGAGCAGGGTGCAGGGCAGTCTGAGAGGAACCAAGGCCCCAGCAGTCTGCAGCTGGAGGCAGGTGGAGCTGTTCAGCAGGACCTGCTTAGGCAGCCAGAGCTGTGACCTGGAGGAGGGTGTGGCCACGGCTTCTTTGGTGCTCTGGAGTTGGCTCTGGGGGCACCGATGGTTTGTTCCCCTAAGCTCGCTGGTTTGTGGAAAATGGAGCCTGTCATATGGAAAGCACCTGTCACCCTCCTCCTCTTTCTTCTCAGGCCTGGACTTGCTGGTCTGGAAGCTTCCAGACACTGCCTGAAAGTGCTGGCATCTTCACCTCGCTGGTGTCACTCTTCAGTCACCATCTCCAGCCCCTGGCCCTGAGGGTGAGATGTCTCTGGGTTCCTGCAGATGCATGCATGAGCTTTCTTGGTGGGGGGACTTTCTTGGTGGGGAACACTCACACAGGTACATTCAGATTACATGGATAGTGGGGTGCTACCTGGACTCCTGAAGCTTTGGGGCAGTGCTGAGCTCTGCTGCACACCCCTTCCTCTCCAGTGAGGCTGGGAGGCAGATGTGGGGTCCCACCTGGCCCAGTGTGGCTTCCCTGCCTCCTTGAGAGTGCCCTTCCATGCTGTGTTTAGTGACACACTTGTTCCAGCCTTGGAGCGAGCCTGATGCCCTTCCCCTAAAGACCTCTTTCGCAGTAACCTGTGCCCCAAACAGCAGCGCGGCCAGCAGGGTGTCCAAGGTTCCTGTGCCTCTCAGCTTCCTCTCCTCTCCTCATCTCAGATGAGCTGTGGCCAGAGCTGCAGGAAGACGTGCAGTGACTTGAAGTGGATCAACTCCTGAAATCCATTTTGCAAATCAAATGTCGCCCTCATGCTGAACAGCCAAGCACACACGTCCTCTGGGCTCTGGGCTGAGGACTTTGCGCCAGCACCATTGGCCAGCCTCCCTGAGCCCCTTCTGAGGGTTAGGATAAGGGTGATGTCCCTGCTGGGCAGGGGAGGAGCTGCACAAGTCCAATGTCTTTCTTCTGTGACAAGGAGGGGTTCTGTGGGGTGCAGGGACTGGCAAGAGTGTTCACGGAACCAGAACAGTGGCATTTGTTCAAAAGACAGAATTTCTGTTTTCTTTTGCATACAGTAAAAATAGCTTGTACTATGCAGAAATCATACAGTCTGTGCTTCCTCAGGCTTTTTGATCTTAAAGAAAAACAAAACAAAAAAATAAACAAAATGTAATGTTGCAGAGTTTTTGAGACAAAATGATACCCATGCCCCATCACGAGGCACACTGCCAACCTATCTGTAAGGGTGACACATCTCCCCACAGTGCAGAAGGGCCACACCTGAGGTGTCTGTCCCTCTGTGTGCCTCAGAGATGGCTTCTAGCCAGAGCTCCTGTATCCAGTGCCCTCTTCCTTTGGCCCAGGCCTCCCATCTCTCCTCCGCATTGTAAAGAGGACAAGGCAGCAGGGCAGCTAGGCAGACTGGTAGCCCAGCCAACCTGTGGGCAGAACCTGCCAGCACCAGGTCATCTTGCAGGGCTGGACACAGCCACCACCTAGAGTTCAGGATCACAGCCATCAGTGCTCTGCGAGAGGCCGATGAACCTAGATGCCTCCTGAGTTTAAACCACTGCACTCACCCTTTGCAAGGAAGGTGGACAAGGAGGTCCTCGTGCAGGCTGAGGCTGGGCAGAGCTGTGTGTGTGCATGTCCCACTGTGCTGTGTGCTGTGTCACTTTCCTTCATGATCAGGAATGTGTGTGTGTGCAACACAGAGCACACACTCACACAGGTGTCCACATGCTCACAGTGGCACACACACAAACATGTGTACACCCACACTCATGTGCACACACAGAGATGCACACACATGTATACACACATGCTCATGTAAGGCACTTGGGCTTGCTCAGGAATACGCACTCATTGGCACAACCCCGCATCCACACTCCTGCACACACCTGTGAATGGGATGGCTTGGGATAGTGCAGTTCCTTACTGCCCTGGGGTGACACAGCGGAAGCCCCATCCTCTGCAGCGTGGTCAGAACCCCGCCCTCCTCACCAGCACCTTTCCTCACCACTGCCCCTTGCTCTGGCCCTGACCACCTGGGTACATCAGTGTTTTTCTGATGCAAGGACAGACAAGGCTTCTTGGCCCCAGGCCGCTGAGGGGCAGTGGGTGGCAGGTGGGATCTCTAAGACTCAGGGTGGGCACTGCCAGTACCCCCTCCTGGCCCCAGGGCCAGCTCTGTCTGGCCTCCCGCTCACACACATGTGCCCTTCACATGTGACTCCCAGGGAAGAGGGCAGATCATTATTTCCTGCAAAGCTAAAATGTCAACAGCTCCTGGTTCTTTTTCTCTACTGGCATCCAGGAAGGCAGGGAAAGGCACAGAACCGTGGCTGGCTCTGCTTGAATAGGCTCAGGAGCCACCTGTCCCCTTGCCCAGCGGTGTCCTCCTGATAATTCCCATGTGTCCCCCACCCTGGTCAGTTCCCAGCCTGAAGGTCCAGATGCACCCACGTGGATGCCTGCAGAGTACGACTGGATGATCCTAGGGCTCCGCAGGTGGGACGGAGGCACCATGGGCAATTATGCATGAGATATTCATTCAATTATTTACCTAACTAATTAACTTAGTTCATCACAAAGAATGCAATTAATTTTATTTATCAGGTTCATGAAAGTCAAAGCAAGCCAACTTTGAAAATGCACAGCAACTATTTCTAGCACAATAAAGCCAATTATTTCCAAAAAGTGAAGCCTGGCGCCGATGAGAGCATATCTATAGCAACGGCCGGGTGGTTATTCCCGTTTGTTTTCTGAGCAATGAAAAGTCAGGACTATGCAAATGGTGTAAGGTGCACTTTCACCATCAAATGCTCAGGGATTCATGCATGTGTTCACTCTGTTGTGTGCATTGCATCTGAGAGTCTGCCCTCTGCTCTCTGGCTTCTGTGGACCCGTAGGACTGGGAGAGACTGATGGAGCTCATCTTGTGTCCCCTCGTCATGAGTGGCCACCCTCAGGAAGACTCCCCATGTCTTCCTGCCCAGTCTCCTGTCTCCTGTCCGGTCCCCAAGCTGCCACCGGAGCCCACTTTTGGGCTCTCTGTTTAACCCCCTGGTCTACTCCCTGTGCTGGGTAAAGCCTGCCACTGCCCACTGTGTCCTGTGTCCCTGCCTGTGTGTGCTGCTCATGGCTCACATTTTAAGGAGATCCAGTCTGTGGTCAGCTGGCTCCACGGCTAGCTCCTGGCCCTCATCTAAGGTGCTCAGAGACACCCACCCCCAGAGGGGAGCCCAGAGTCTCTGCAGTGTCTCTGAGCCCCACCTCCCTGGTGCCTGCCCCGTTGCCTTGCACACAGAGCAGTTGTCTCTCCTGTTGCTCCAGCCTGCGACCCTCACACCCTCGTCCTCTTCAGACCAAGGCGTCTAAGATTTCCCCATCTGTCTTCCTGCACCTACTATAGCCTGGGGATTCTGCCGACTTTACAAATAATGCAGAGGTTAATAGACTGAACTCAGGATTTCAAATTATAATTGAGCCCCTTTTCTTTCTTAGGCACCGTGGCTTAATGCATGAGTTACAGCAGGAAGAGTTACAGCAGTGCCTGGGAAGAGCTCAGCACTCAGGATTCTCCACCTGTTAATTTAGGCAGTTCTCACACAGTCTCTTCTGCCTGGTACTGCTGTTTTCACCTCCATTTTACTTGGAAACCTGAAGCCCAGCAAAGGTAATGAGCTTTGCTAAAGCTCCACAAATGATGGTGATAGATGCCAGACCCCGCCCTCGGTCTCTCCGAGCCTGAGTCTGCTCTCACCTAGTAGCATCTGTGTCAGCTTTCCCATCACTGGACACAGTAGCCAACACCCACAACTTAAAGGAGGTTAAAGCTGGCTCCCATTTTAAGGAGATCCAGTCTGTGGCCAGCTGGCTCCACGGCTAGCACCTCTAACTACAGTTGCGGTTTCTTTAAAATGTATTTCTTCCCATAATCTCATCAGCTTCTGCTTCTCTGTTTTGATGCTACAGCCTTGGTACATCTGTGTTCAAAATCATCCTTCTCTCCTATTTTCTTAGTGTTTTTGCTTGGTGTAGGGCATCCTCTTTGATTCTTATTTTTATTTCAACACATATTTTAATCTTTTAATAAGATTTTGGCTTTTACACATTTAATTCTTTTGCTTCTTATTTCTTGTTTCATGTAAATATTAAATTACTGCTGCTGCTTAAAAGTACCAATCCTGAGAGCTTTTATTTCTTGATAAATGATCAGTATAACCCACTCACATTTGTTATATTTAATGCTGTATTCAGAATTACTTCATCTATATTATTTCACAATTTTTATTAGATCCAATTTTCATTTTCTTCCTTTTTTGAACTTGCATTGAATGGATAATTTTTTTCTGCTAGTTTTAACCTAATGTACCCTATCTTGATCCTTTGCTGGTTGTTCTTTACTCCTTGAGATCCATATTTATGCATATTCCTTCTTTTGTTTTTGAAACAGCATCTCACTATGTAGTTAAGCATGGCCTTGAACTCACTTATGTAGCCTAGGCAGGCCTCAAACTCACAGCAATCCTCCTGCCTCAGCCTCCTGAGTGCTAGAATTACAGGCATGCACCACCAGGGCTAGACTATTTACTTTTAAGCTGATCCTTATCTATCTCTTCCCTATGAATAAGGAAGGTGGCTGGTATCGCCATTCCTTTCTTTTGGGCTGTCTCACTTGTACCCTGTGGATATCACTTAGAATTTTGACCAAAGTTTCCTATACACAGAATTTGGTTTTGGCCTTGTTTTAACAAGTTATTTAATCACCATGTGTCTTAGCTGCTTTCTTCATTGTTTCATACCTGACACCCACAACTTTAAAAAAAGGAGGTTTGTCTTAGCTCAGAGTTCATAAATGTTTCAGGCCATGGTTGCAGACTCCAAGGCAGGCAGCATGGCAGAGAGAGGAACCTGGTGGAGAAAGCTTGCTAGTGGATGGTGCACAGGAAGCGCTGAGGAATCAAGGGGGAAGGAGGGACATATACGGCTCCAGGCCACACCCACGATGACCCACTGCTTCCCATTAGGCTTCTTCTCTCAACATCACACCCATCTGTAAGTCTCACACACTGAGGGTGTCACACACCCATGATCCAGTCACTTCCCAAAGCCCCACCTATAAGTGCATAAGGCTTTCAGGGGGCATTTAAACAGAAACCATAACATCATGGCTCTCATATTTCTAATATTTTTTCTTTTTTTACTACAGGACTGTCTTTTCAGATATCTACAAAAAGTGTTTGTGTAATAAAATTTTGGAGGCCTAATACATCTGAAAAATACTCTTATTTTGCCACTACATATAAATGATAGTTTAGCTGGATATAAAATCCTTGGTTTAAAGATTGTTTTCCCTCAACTTAGAGACTTGCACTAAAATTTCCTGCATCCAGTAACAGAGATAAAAATAGTCAATCTGACTAGTGTTTGTATTAATTCATTTTTCATTGCTATAAAAAAACTATGAGTCTGGGTATTTATAAGAAAAATGAGTTTATTTCTTTCACAGTTCTGAAAGCTGAAAACCCAAGGGTGGGGTCCACATTAATTCAAAAGCTGTTTTTTGTGCACCACTGAATTGGATTTGGGAACAGGAATCAGCATTGCCTGTGAGCAGTGCCCATTGTGTCCTGAAGCAGTAACCTCAGGACTCTGCCTATCATCTTAGGCAAAGCACAGCACTCCCTCTGCAGCTGCCACACAGGGTCCGAGTGGTCCTCACCCATGCAGTGGGAAGAGGTACAAATCAGTCTCTCGAGCTCTGCAGGTTCCACCTTGCAGACAGTGGTTAATTCTTGCTCAGCACTCTGGGGCTCTGCCCCTGTCTCCCAAGCATCCCTGGCTGTCACCTACCTTTGTGGATGAGTCAGCGCCGCAGGGCTTCTCAGCTCTGGCTTGAACTGAACTTTGTTCTCAGCGTCACACCGTGTTGCCTGGGCCCTTGGTGCAGCCCAGCCAACCCAAGTCTCCTTGTCAGGAGGAACACAGGGCGAACTTTGGTTTTCTCTTTTATAAATTTTAATTTATTAGTACAAGCTTGAGATAACACTTGAACACATACATCGTTTGGTACATACACGCATTGCAGCCTAGTCTTTTTGACTGTCCCTTTTTCTCCTTGACTCTCTTCACCTTCCATCCCTGCCCCCTTCCTGTCTCCAAAAAGTCTACCTCCACTGTTTCTTGTCATCTATATTTCATTTTGCTATTTATTTATACTTTTGATTTCTGATACAAGGACCCATGCAATATTTAAGCTCATGTGTCTGATTTATTTCATATATTATGATCTCAGGATGCCTCCATTTCCCTACAAATAATTCAGGTTCATCCTTCTTCTTGGCAGAGTAATACTCCATCGACTAAAGATACCATATTTTCTTTATCCATTCACCAGATACACCTATGGGCTGCTTCCAAAATTTATCTATTATGAGTAGACCCTAACACTAACCCTAACCCTAACCCTAACCCTAATCCTAACCCTAATCCTAATGCTAACCCTAACATTAACCCTAACACTAAACTCTAACCTTAACCCTAACCCTAACAATAACCCTAAAACGAAGCTTAAACCGTAACCCTAACTCTAACCCTATGCTGCTATAAACATGATTATGCATACATTACTGTTATAGAAAGTCTTTAACTCTTTCAGGAAGATATCTAGAGGGGGAATAGCCAGATGGAATGGAATTTTTACTTTTAGTTTTCTGAGGTTTTCATTTACCACAATCCATCTCTTGCCTAACCAGGGAGAGAAAGCTCTGAGTACAGAGCACTACTAGGCACGCTTCGGGCCTGGGACCACTACTTTTTTTCAGCTTAAGGTACACTATTTGACCTTTTGGTGAATTTCTTTCTCAGGAAAGCACCATTTTTAGACAATTCTGTGAGAAAAATAATCCTCAGGGCTCAAAAATAGGAGAAAGCTTGCATACCCCTCTGACCCAGAAACCCAACTGGAGACAAACAGCCAGGCAGCTACACACCAAGCCACCTGCAGGAGGGGACACCTGCCCCAGAGATGCTACCTTCATTCACTTTTCCTTGAATTTCTGAAACGAGAAATTATATTATGAATAAGCACACTCCTTGTGCTCAGCTTGTTTTTACACTAGCAATGAATGAATAAATGAATGAATGAACAGACTGTGTATAACTTGCCTTGAAAAGGGCACAGAGCTCTTCCCTCGCCAAATCACTCTTTCACTGGCCCCGTCAGGATAGCCTGGAAGTGCCTCCACCTGGCTTTAGGAGGTCAGAGATACCTGGTACAGGAGGGGCAGGACATGCCCTTCCCTGGGGCAGCCCATTCTCACCAGGAGAAGTCACAGCTGCCCCAGGGCCTGCCCATGCTCCTGGTCTTTGGGTTCTCCACCTGCATGCAGTTCTGAGGCCGCAGACAGACTTTTCTTCTCTGCTTTTTCTAGTGCAAGGAGAATCTCCAGGTGTAGCAACAGCAGCTGCCCCTAGAGTCCCCGCTTTTCACACACATTTGTGAGTGCCTGTCTGGGCTCTGGACACACGAAGAGGGACACACTTAGGGAAAAGTGCTGCCTGCTGGGGGACCTGGTGGGAGAGGGAGGCTGGATGTGGGGCTGGTGTACAGAATGCTCAGAGAAGTGTGGGCGTCACACTGGTGGGCATGAGGAGTGCAGAGGCAAACCCTGCAGCCTGTCAAAGGAGGAGAAAGCTCCTTGAAGGAGATGCCCTCAAGCTGGTGTTGGGAGGAGGAAGACGGGGCCGGAAGGCTGGCACAGCCTATAAAAAGGTTCTGAGAAACAGGATTGAGAATTTCTATGGTTTACACACTTTGCTGAAGCCTGAGAAAGTTTGCATGGCGTCCACTGGGCCAGCAGTCCTGGGTGAGCTTGAACATGTCCCCTGATGCTGGGTGCCAACCATGCCTTGATCTGTACATTGCTGAAGTTAATTTTGTTACAGTTTGTGAGTTTCTGTCTTGCAGACTTACAAAACATACAAGAATAATACAGAGAACTCCTATACAGTCTTTATCCAGAGCCACCAACTGAGAACACTTTCCCTTATTGGCCTTATCATGTAGAGAGGTTAATTGTAAACAGGTACAGACAGGTATGGAAAGGTAGACAGATAATGTGTACATTCATGCACAGGCTCCTATCATGGTACATTTATTTTTCCCTAAACTGAGAGTAATTGTGAACACCATAGCGTTCTCCTATTGTGCATCTTCCCTGGCAGGACACTGAACAGTAATATGACACTGTCACATAATCCAGAGTTCACATTCATATTTTACCAACTATCCAGCATCTATGCCTGTGCAGGCTGGCGCTGGGCAGAGGATACATCTGCCTCATCGGCCTCTTTGTTCTGGAGCAGGTGCTTGGCCTCCACCTGCCCGGGGCTGGACAGTGATGAGCAGGGCAGCAGCTATTGGTAGGATGATGGCTCCAGATCTGGGGGCAGAGACACATGATGGGCAGGACGGTCCATAGAAGTGCCAGGACTTCTATGGACTGCACTCAGTATGGTGGTCCACCAGGCCCTTCCACTGGTGAGCTACTTCCTCATTCTGGTCAGCCAGTGCTTACAAAGTCAGAGTTGGGTCTCCTCTTGACCATTGAGAATCTGCATGTGAACTATGGTAACTATCAAGTTGCAAAGTCTCAATTCCCGACCTCCGCCCTTCTTGTTCCCTAGTGTCCACTCTGCTGTGGGAAGGAGCTGCCTCCCCCTCTCTGTGTCTCCTTGGTTTTCACACCAGCATGGCTGCTGGGTTCCTGATGTCCTGTGGGTTACAAGCTGTTGCTTCCATGATGAATTCTGATCCTCTAACTGGCCTATACTAGCCATCAGGGGACCATCTGAGGACATACACCCTGGATGACACTCACTCAGGACCTCATGGCTCTTAGCAGCTGAAGTTGAGTGCTTTGATAAAACCTCAGTGCACGGTCTCAGGTAGAGTGCCAACCCTCCACTGAGCCTGTCCCCAGAAGGGACAGTGCCCACCAGCTGAGACCAAGCAGACACTTTCCCCACCCCAGGGCTCCTCATTCTGCAGCAGCCCCATCTCTCTCCCACTTGCCACACATGCCCCTCCTCCTCCTCCAGGAGCCCTGGGTCAAAGTGACCTCCAACATGGCCCTGGGCTGACTATCCTGCCACAGCCTACCTGCCCACCACCACGCT